ACAGGGTATGGTTTTGCATGGTCTACTATGGTATGGTATGATATGTATGTAGTGTATGTAAGTTGATGTAATGTAATGTAAGTTGATGTAATGTGATGTAATGTGATGTAATGTAATGTAATGTAATGCAATGTAATGTAAGATAATGTAATGTAATGTACTGTACTGTAATGTACGTAAATGGACTATATACATACATCTACATATATATATATATATCTGTATTTACAAACATACACGTATCATAAAACTGTGCCAAGGAGACGGAGATGAGCATTGCCAAGGAGGTGGACAAGGATCTTAGTGCTGAGGGCGGCGACCAGGGAGGCGCCGACAGCGAGAACGCCAGCGCGCGGCATGAGGCTCGCGAGCGGCAGCGTGAGGCGGGGCGCGGAGTCGCAAGCGGACGGCATTTTGTTGAAGGCTGAAGTGCAGTGATGGTCCCCCAAAGAAGAGGAACAGTGCAAGAGCCATGAGGGACTCGAACCTTCGCAAATGAATGGGTGGGATTCATCTTGTGCTTTTTGTGTCTCAGGCTCCTGTTTGGCAAGCTTGAAGTTACCCAGAAGAACCATCCAAACTGTGGTGGAGACAGCTGCCTCTGAGACAGCTGCTTGTTCAGCTTGGCAAACTGGCTGCCACTGAGAAGGCGCTTGTCTGGCATGCCCACGGGGGCGAGGTTGTGACTTGGGGTCATCCGGAGACAGCAGCCAGGTGCAAGAGCAGCTGAGCAACGTCCAGCATATCCAAGCAACTGACCGTGCTTTTGCTTCCATTCTTGAATCTGGGTCTGTCGTGACCTGGGGTGAACGGTGGTGGAGACAGTAACCAGGGACAAGAGCAGCTGAGCTTGAATCTTGGTTTTTGAAAACGGACGACTCAAATGTGTGGGAGGCTGAAACGCAGTCCAAAGTGTTTCTTGGGTGAAAGCACCAGTGTGAGCAGGACTCGTACCCAATAGAAGCAAGCTGTGAGCAACATCCAATTGCCACCGTCAGCCTTTTAGTCAAGAATTTGAGTATGATGTGCGGGTGTGGGTTTTTTCAGGTTGGGTTCCCCAATGTAAAGGCAAATCCATGCACATGACAATTTTCCCATGAGAACATGGGGTCGGCTTCGGCATAGTCTGCGCTTGGGGCACCGGGGTTGTGGATTCTTTGTGGATGTATTTGGGTGCGAATTGACGTGGTTGGAACACCCTCGAACATGACTGTTGGACGTCAGTACCAAGCTCATGGCTTTGTCTCAAAGGGGAAGAGGAGCCGAAAATTGAACCGGTGTGAGCCGGTTCGAACGTGCCCGCTTGAGGCTCCGCAAGAGGACACGTTGCCTCATGTTTTCTTCCAAGAGTGCCAGGTCATAAGTGGCTGCGCGCCCTCCTCTAAACCATGCAGCTTGAACGGTTTCACATCCCGACCAATCCAAACCGCCAATGAAACAGATGTTACTCTCACCCTTGTTGCCTCCCAAATTACAGCTCATCGGGCCCCCCAATTGGAACCTGACTACACATACTAGGCAACCTTTGTAACCATGGCCAGTGGCGAGGATTTTCAGGGGTCCGGTCGCATTTGTGGAAGCCCCGCAGGCCCTGCAGCGAATGCAGCAGTGCTATGCGCAGCGCGTGCACTTTGTGGAGCTGCTGGATGCTGCAGAGGCATTCTGGTTCCAATAAGAAAGGAGGTGCGAGGTTTTTGTTTGCACAAGGGTGTGCTTTGGAGATACTATTTGGTTGTGGATCGATGGGTGATTGGTGATTGGTACGCATATCCTTGGAGCCCATGATTACAACACTTTGACCACACTAATCATGACACTGGACATCATCTTGAAAGGCAGATGCAGACATCTTTCAGAGCTGCAGAACATGAGGCAAACTCTTGATCCATTCCTCGCTGCTCCGTTGCAACGAAAAGGCGCTAGGAGTCACCTGTTGTAGTTCTTCAGTTTGCTTCCCGGAAAGGTGGGACCTGACCACCACGGTTTTGTGACTTGTCGGGGATGTGTACAAACTTTATTTTTGGCTTCGGTGCCACCTTGCCGGCGGGACACATGGCCCTGGAGAATGGTCTTCCTTGAACGCCGGGTGGCGATTCCGATGTCAAACTTAATCGATTTCTCATGGCTTTGTCATCATCGGCGATCCCAACGAGGGCTGAGACGAGTTGGCTTTGTCATATGTTTTTTTTGTTTGTCTTCCTTCTTCTGAATGAGACAGCCAGCTCGTCGCAGGCCTCGTCTCACCGCTCCGCTGAAGGGCCGAAGGGCCGGATTTCTGATCGCTCGATCCGAAGGCCCGGCTCCGGCAGCTGCTGAGCTCCAAGACCCCCACGGACGTCACCGAGGCCATCAGCGTGGTGGTGGAGCTGCGCCTGCGAGGCGAGCGGCGGCGCGCGCGATCCGTCGGGCTGGTAGCTGGAGGAAATCCCCGCCACAAGCGAGAAACCCAGACTGAACGGTCCCTTTTTTTGACTGGGGGGTGGTTGGGGCATGCGTGGTATCATTAACAGAGCGCGGGTTCCATTTTGAAGTGTCACGACATGGTGGGGCTGTGAAGTCATATTCTATAGTGTATTCACAACAGTCCTGAGTGTGTGGTTGTCATACTTTGCAAGTCAACGACTCCGCAGGAGAAGCCAATGAAGACAATCGAACTACCCCGCCTGGCAATGGTCAATTTTAGTCGAACAGGGCGGAGACTCGGCCCGAGAATTCAACACGAACCCCTTTGATTTCGCCCAGATGGAAATGGAAACAAGCCAGGCCCATCTGGCTTGATCAACTCAGTGATGCCAGGTGTGCCTGCGGCAACCCGTGCCTTTCAGCAAGTGCTGGGCTTGGTGTGGAGCCGACATGCGCCCATCAAGGCAGGGTTTGCTTGCTTGATATCTCTCCTTACGGCCTTGTTTCATCCGGCCCCCCCACCCACAAACGGAAGATGGGGGGACTTGAGGGTTGCCACTTTTGCCGACTGCACGCGGCAGCTTTGTCTTGATTGAGCTACAGAGTGCCCTGATCCCTTGGCTTCGGGGAGCCGAGCTTGAACATTTTGTGCGCTCTTGGAAAGCGCACGCTTCAAGACATGACTTCTAGCTTGTCCGCTCCCAGAGCATGATTCAAATTCGATCACTGCCAGGACGCCGCCGTGGATGCTTTCTACCGGATGCACCTGGAAGGCCGCGATGCGCGCTCTTCCGCCGCAGCGATTCTTCAGATCTACCAGGACGCTGGTTCTAACTCGGCGGTTTGCCGCATTTTAGGCAGCTAGCTGGAAAGGCATTGGCGGGGGAATGCAACGCTTGCACTCCTGGCTCTCAAAGGTGCGAGAAGGCGACCTCGAGCATGAAACGCACAAAGCCATCTTCGTTCCGTCGAAGCCGCGTTGGGAGGACGGCTTTGCCTCCGGCACGTTGACGCACACGCATCTGGCCAGCGTGCAGGAGCAGTTTTTGAAAGTCGCAGAGCACACTCCCGCAAGTGGATTTGGCCCCCACGCTGCTTTTGCGGGCATTTGCAGCTTTGCATCAGTGATTGGTAGTGGCATCTCCGTCGTTGCTATTTGCAGAGGTTGAAAGGTGCAAACGGCCACAGGGCGTGCATTTAGTTTACTGTCAACAGGAGCTCATCCAGCAAGCCGCGGACAAGGAGCTCATATCAACAACCCAGGCGAGTGCCACATTTGTTTCTTTGGCACTCGCGCTGCAAGCTGCATATTTTGTTCTAAAGCACATCTTCCGGTTTTAGTCTTCAGTAACATGTGTACCGGCTGGCTGATTCTGAGAAAGCTCTTGAGCCCACAGTGCCCCTGCTACAATTATTTGAAGCCAGTACCGTTGACAGTTAGCGAAAGCATACATTTGCACATATGTATATAGATATACAGTATATATATAAACAAGTAAACAAACACAAACACACACACACATACATATATATATATATATATATATATATAAATTATGATTATATTATATATATATATATCTATCTACATATCACAGACACTTGAGGCCCCCCCCCCTGGACAGGTGGTCACCACGCTCCTAGGCGCTTTGTCCGAGGGCGCCTCCTCCGGGAGCTTCGCGCTGCGGGCGCTCACGGCGCTGGTGGCCTCGAAGCAGGGCCACTTCGCCATGGCCCAGGGCCTGCAGAAGCTCGCAGAGTACACCGCCAGGCGCCGACGCCGCCGACGGCGCCGACGGCGGCTTCTGGCGGCTTCTGGGGGAGGGGGGGAAAGCTTGGGTGAATTCTCGTGGTGATCCAAGCTGGGGACCGGTTTTTCCTTTAAGGGGACCGGGAATGAGAATGGGAATGACTTCGAGTGAACTGGTTTTTCCTTTGAGGGGGACCAAAGCCTGGGTTCATTCGCGGATTCGCTGAGCAACGGACCGGGGGTTTGGTTTGCCAACACATTTTTTTTCTTCAACTTGGTAGCAATATACCAGGACCCGTGGGGCACGACCAAGGATCTGGTTTCCAGCTGCAAGTAGGAGTGATTCCTCGGAAAAGATGTCACGAAGGAAACTCAATTGCGGCCTAAAAGGTATCGAGCAGGGAACCCTGGTGCTTTTGGTTTCGCTCGCTTGGTGCGAATTGAAATTGTGCAAGAGGAAGGCGTTAAGCCGAAGGGAAGTGGAAAAGCCGGCTTTTGGGGCAGACGGGATTGCTTTTGTTTGGATCTTTTCCTGGGAAGCACGACTAGTCAAAGACGGTGTTGCTGAAATGTAGCAAGAAATTGTAGCGAGAGTGGAAGGGACAACTAGGGATGCGTTCCATGGGCAAAAAAGGCCCAATCTGTTGTGCGCACGCGTCAAAGCGGGAGTTTATTAAACATCCGTGTGGATGATTGTGTTGGAGGCCAGGCAAACCTGTCACGGCCTCATGCTTACCGAGCAGGAAGTACAACTCATTTCGCAGGTCTCGTTGCAGCTGTCCGTTAGCTTCTGTGCCTGGTCCTCGCCATAGGGAAGTGGCTGGATACACTTTTTTTAGACATGGCCGTCAGCTTGCACTCTCTGAATGAAGCGATGTACCCATGTTCGCTAGAAGTAGGGCCAGGTTTTCAGGGAAAGCCGAAGGCTTGCGGCCTGTTGAACTTGCTGTGCTGTTCTTCTTCACCCTGTGGATGTGTTAAAACTGCGGGTGCCTCTTCGTGCGCGCTCAAGGATGCCATGATAGGACTTCACTTGGAGAGACACTGAGCTCACATTTTCGAAGAGATACCCTTTGAGGAGTCTTTAGAATCTTTTCATGAACACGGATCTTTCTCTGCGGATTCACATGAAACTTGGAGAATTGGAATCCTTTAAGAATCCCCAGGTTCCTTCCCACCCTACCTCTCGCCCCAATAATGGAACCCCGCCAAACCCAAAGCGAGCGACCGGGAGGCCCGGCAGCCCTGGGGAGCGCCTGGAGTCCAGCCGCCTGGTGTGCCAGCTGCTGCTGCGCTTCTGCGCCAACCCGGGCACTGACCACGCCCACGTGGCGCGGCTCTGCGCCGTGCCGCTGGGCGAAACGACTGGGCAAGCCGCGGAAGTCTTGGGTGTTGGTTTTGGAACTCTTTGCCAGCAGCTGCTTTCAGTTCATTTTTTTTCGGCTTGGGCGCCCTTTTATTTTTTTTGGCCAGAGGGGTTTGGACCTGGGCGCAAGAAAGGCGTCATTTCTTCGGCTTTCGGTTCAGAGGTCCCAGCAGTGCACCTTCCTGGTGGTGCAGCACTTTGTGAAGGGCGAGGTGCCCCCCCAGTGGTTCAGCGCCGCCATGTGCGCGATGGAGCGGGGGGAGGGATCGGATGACGTGCGCAGGGTGGGGCCTAAGCAATTCTGAGGTCAGATTCTGAGGTCTCTTTGCTCTTGAAGACCCGCGTCTTGGGAGACCCTTTGAGCTTCTTGGGCTCTAGCAGTTCTCTCGCCAGTAAGCTCCGGTCTTTTCGGTCACGCTCAGGTAAAGTCGAAACAACCCCTACTGAGATGGACCTCCTATCCTGGGTGCAAAAGCATTGTGCTCAACACAGTTCCCCTCACCAGGATTTCATTCTCATCGCCATTTTCTTCACATGTCGAATCGCAAGCAGCATGCCGACCTCAGAAACTGTCCACACCAGCCAGAATTACCAGAGGGAGTTACTTTGAGCAGGGACGTCCCCTCTTTTCGGGCAGTTTTGCGTAATGATCAGCTGAGTATTTGTGGGGTTCTTATTGGGAAGTGTCTGTCCATAGCTCTGGGCTTCAGGACCTCTCCTTTGAACTTGCCAGCCACGGCAAGTCTGCGGTGGATCCTGCACACCGCTCTCCCGATAAGGCGTGTTGCTCGGGGCTTGGCTCCTTGGAAGTGGGTGAAGTGGCACGTGTGATGGCTTCGTGAAAGTAGGTGGATCGCCTCACGACTTTGAAGGTCTTGCATGGATGCCACTCGCATGTGTCATGACGCAGAGGTGCCTTGCAGCCAAGCTTAGCATTGCCACAGATGTCCCTAAACTGGAAGGAAGCAGCAGTTGTTCTGTCGCAGTTTCTTCAGACGGACTTTGTTGTTGATGAGCGACACTTTCTTCGCAGGTCAGGCCACAGGTCAGTTTCAGTTTCTTGGCAGGTCTGGGAGAGCATCTTGAACCGCATGCTTTGCGGGCTCCTTGGAGGCCGATGGAGCAGAGCAGATGAGCGGCTGGCTGGCCGCTGCTTATCAGCCTGAAACGCCCACCCAAAAACACCTGGGACCGTCACGATGCCCCAAAAGGTGCCCCTCAGCTCTCTCGCTCCGTCGGCCTTCGGATTGCCTCGCGATCCGCGACGGATCGCCGCCCCCAATTTTTTCAGAACCGCGCCCCGACGCGCGAGGCGCTGCGGCGTCTGCCGGCGCCCCGGGTGGTCTCTGGGAGTTGGTTTGGTAGTGGAAAGCATTTGAACATGTACTCCAAGTCGAGTTTACCATAGTGATGCTCAGCCCTATTGCTTTCTAGATGGGCGAGGTGACGTGTGCCCATGGCCAACCGGATCGGCACTTGCCAACGTCTTTCAAGCAGATCGAGGCAACGCCATCACACCTTTGGCAGTAACGGCATGAACCAACGCTGGGCTTTTGAGGAGGTGCACACATGACCTGCATCGCGCTGTGTTTCGAGTTGCGACTCGGATGCCCTGCTGCTACTGTTTGTGCAAATCACAGGGACCCTTGAAATGGGTTTGTGTTCAACAGGCGGAATGTCCAAAGAGCCGGATGGGCGCGGTTTTCCCTTGAAAGCCATCCGAAAAGGCTGCCCCCCGACTCCCAAGGAGAAGGAGGAGGCCCGGAGCCCAAGGAATTTGGAGCTCGTGGTTTGCAGTTGGTTGCTCTTTCGCAACAAAAAACAAGAGGAGGCGCAACACCAAAAAAGGGAGAAGCAAGGCATCAGTGACCCTGTTTCCATGAACCTGAGCTTGTAGGTTTGCTTTCTGAACCAGCCGGAGGAGGCTGAAATACATGGAGCGCCAACTTGATGACCCCCCAGTAGTGTGTCCGTTAAATAT